GCTGGCCAATCACAGCACACCTCGCTTTTCAGACCGATGAGCTTTGTAAAAATCGACGTGTTTCAGAAATGCGGGGCATAGAGGAGAAACAATAATGTACGGTATGTGGAAATAATGTTTTTTGAACCTTAAACCGCATAAACACATTTCATTATACCAAATACACAAAATAATGTTCTTTTTAGCAACATCATATGACCCCTTTAAAAAAAAAAAACATTAAAAAGCTTACTGTTCAAAAACTTTTGACTGGTAGTGTAGGCCGATTATTCTTATAGATTGAAACAAATGTGCTTTAGCCAGTATAAAGAGTATGAAAAGTGTTCCGAGTTGCTGCAGAAAAAAAATGAGCTACAACAAAAACTGGAGTTGCTGGAGACGGGCTTATTGAAAATGCAAACTTGTCTGCCAGCAGGAGGCACTTTGAGAGCGGTAGAACTATCGGTTTCTCCAGTAACGGCTGTAATCAAAGCAGCTCCGCTCATGAATGCTTCTTTATCAGATAAAATGAAAACGGCATTGAAACTTTTCTGAAGACAGTCCTTTCCCTTCAGAGATACATTCATATAAAACACCCGCGACTTGCAGTGCTCATGTTTATTCAACGAAGTCAAACGCCACAAATAAATCAATGTATGGGAAACACCGGTAATGTATATCGAAATATCGGAAATGTGTTTAAAAATCATATCACCGTTATTGGAAAAAATTATATCGCTATACATATTGATATTGAATTATTGTCCAGACCTATTCCAGGGTTTTTCAACAAATCCAGCCTGTCAGTCATTTTTAATGTTACTTGCCAGTGGATTTTGATTATATCTGCACTGCCCTGATACACAATAGCATACTATGCATAAAACTCACCGCTCTCACAGCTCTTGGTGGTTGTCAGTTAGTGGACGAAGTGTGTATGCAGAGCACGTTTAAGGTTTTTCTGGCAATAATGCAGCTACATTACTTTCATACACTCAATTGTGTCTTGACCTATCAATGTGTTTATGCAAATAGTTTACCTGGAAACTAGGGGTGCTCCGATCAGGGTTTTTGAGGCCGATCGCCGATCACAGAAAGCAGTATCTGCCGATACCGATCACCGATACCGATCTTTTTAAAGCCTTCTTTTTATCATTTATAACTATTTATAGTGATACTCCAATCAGGATTTTTAGACATTAATTCAGGGCCTGAATTTCATTTTTGAAAATGGGGGGAATTCCCCTCTTAGGTGACTCTTGTGAGAGAGGAAGCAGCTCGGACTCTCATTGTGCTTTCACACAGGAGTCCGCTACTGATCCGTGGCTGTTTACCACAAACACAACATTTATCCATTATTTTGATTTCAAATCCAAACATTGTCACTGAAAATGCTTTTTCAGCATTGCAATTCTTTTTTTACACAGTACAGTAATACAATCTTTCACAGACATGTTTAAACACAATAAATATAAGCAACACATTATTCAATGCTTTTTACTTTTGCATTTACTTCTAGATTTATATATTAAGTTGCTCAAGCAAGTGGAATTTAAACTACTTTTCTTACGTTATCACAAACTTACCATTGACAGAAATAGTCAGCAATCATGCGGTTCATAAAGAACTTTGTTTCCCCACCTCCACGAGTGCCGTCTATTATTGCCTTGTTTATCTAAAAGTGCTATTTCCCTTTAAACCTAGCCAAAAAGCCATATGTGTTGACTGTGAAACACAGTAGACTTTAATAATATGCATGTATGGTGTAATTACTACATTTTCGTGTCAA